GCCCCCAGGTAAACACTGAGTCCCGATGACCCAGCCACCTGTAGCACTGAGGGTTTGTCTTCGGGAAAGGAGAGTGACATCTGTTTGTTTCACGGGGGAAGGGGAGGGCAGGAAAGTCTGACTGCAGTTGCCCGGTGGAAGGAAGCTGATTATCTGCTTGTGCCGGTCGGTGGCCTGGGCTGCCTGACACATCTGGGGAGACGTGCCCAGGTGCAGGGGGTTTCCGGAAGACTCACAAGGCCTCCGTCTGCCTTTCGATCTTAGCAGCTGGGATGAGTGGCTGTCAGCCGCCGAGCGCCGCGCGCCCACTCTTCCTTCACAGCTTGGCTGAAGTCGACTTTCAGGTCTGTGCAGCCAGCGCCACGCTCAACCTTAGAGCATCGTCAGCACCCGGAGGAGCCACCCTTGGCCCCGGTCCTCCCTGCACCAGGCCTAGGCAGCTACCGCTCTCTGCCCGGCTCTGGGTCTGTCTGCTCCGGACATCTCACATGGATCGCCATGTCATGGTGTGTGTGGCCATTGTAGCCTGGGCCCCAGCCCCAGCCCTTTTGATGGCCGAGTAGTATTCCCCCAGGTGGGCGGGCCACACTGTGGACGGACACGGGTGGTTTCCACCTTTGGTGGTTGTGACCGTGCTGCCGTGGGGTCTGTGTTCAGGGTTCCGTGCGGGTGTATGAGGGGTCTTCAGGAAGGTCTGGGCACAGGTGTGCAGGGCTGGGAGGGGCCCTGGGTTCACACACTCCTGAGCACTCCGGGTGCGCGTGCTCGCAGGCCAGCTGGGGGGGGCAGGTAGCAGTGTGAGTACCCTGTTCAGGGAACCCGCATGTCTTTTTCATGGAATAAGCAAGCATTTTTTACTTCAGTTTTGCTATAGGAAGTGTGCACTTGCTGATGGGGGTTGGGATGTGAGAAGTCACCCCTGGGGGGCTGGCCACCAGGCTCCAATCCCTTCTTCTGCATTCTCAGGGTTAGGGGGTTTGCACACATGTGCCTGGCGTGCCTTTCAAGCCACCAGCTCCGGGACTTGAACTCCGACGTCTGCCATGTGGGATCCAGCCGACTTAACTTCCAGATGATCTGCTGGCCCAGTAAACTTTGTAGGGTTTTTAGGTTTGTGCTTGAAAGAGAGTGACAGAAAGAGAGGGAAAGTGAGCAGTCACTCCCCAGGAGGGATGGCCTCGCTGTAGTCCCTTCTCGGGATTCGGGGTGCACACCTGCTACTGGTGTGTTTCAGACAGCCAGGTCTGGGACTTGAGCTGCAGTCGGCCCTGTGGGAGTCCAGCACCTTAACTGCCGTGCCTCCTGCCAGTCCCTGGTTAGCCTTTTTGAAAAGTTCATAGAAAGGCTAAGCTGTAATGGTTAGGGTGAGCTGGATCTCAAATGGCCAACTGCAGTTCAAGTCCTGCACCCAGTGGCTTGAAAATGTGCAAGGAGGCCTGTCTAGTATCCCAGCAGGGTGAGAAGAGGAGAAGCGAGAAGGGAGAGACCACACTCCACTGCCAGGTTCTTTCCCCTCCCCTCTCTCGCCCTCTGGGGAGTACATGTGCTCTCTGACAATTAAGAAAAGAAGGTTCGTGGAAAATCCAGGCTATGAAACCGTGTGCCTGGATTACAATGCTCTCTGCACTAAGATAAGCTCATACTCTTGCCCGTTTTTCTGCGAACTTCCCAAAGTCTCCTGTATGTCGTGGGGAGACGGTGGGGCGGCATGGCCCCGGCAGGACCCGGGGAGGAAGCCACGCTCCTTACAGTCCTGCAGGGCCTGCTTTGCACAAGGCCCGGGGGTGGGGAGCGGGTGGCAGCAGCCTGGAAGGTCCTTCCACTGCGCTGGAGCTGGCCCTGGCCACTAGTCTCAGGCTGTCCTTGTCCTGTGTATGCCCTGAAGTCCTGCCCGGCATCCTGAAGATGAAGAGGTGGCTTTCTCTTTGAGCCTCCGACCCCCTCCCAGGCCTTCCCCACCCCCCCACCCTGCAGTGGAAGGTAGTTCAGAAGTCCTTTGGATTATAGAGCTCTTACAGACCTCGGGCTCTGCCTCTTTGGAGTTTCCTCCCAACTCCCAAGGGTGGGGTTGTGGCGAGATCTAAGAGTTGGAAACACTCTGTAAGAAAAAGGAAGGGAGTGGGGCCACTGACAGTGACATTGCTGGCCTCCCACAGGGCCGACCCCTGTTTAAGTCCTGGACCCGGTGGCTTGAAACTCACTCCAGGCGCGTGTGCGTGTGTGCCCAAGATCCCAGAAGGAGAGTGGAGGGGAAGGGGTTGCGGTGTGGCCATCCTCCCTCCCCCAATTACTTCTCACTTTCCTTCTCAATGTCTCTGTCTCTCTGGCGAGCATACATGCCCTAAGGGAAAATCCTCTTAAAGTAGACAAAGGAAAAGATTGAATGAAGTAGGGATGCGGTGGCAGCTGGGACCGGCTCAGCGTGATTACTCTGAGCGATCGGGCGTACTGAAGTATCTCATTCACATAAATCCTGGAAAGTGCTAGCGCACCTACAGAAATAGACACACGGCCAGTGCTGGGGGGGGGGGGCAGAGGCACGTGACCGAGGGCACAGGGACACAGGGGTGGTGGACCTGCTCCTTAGCTTCCCCGCGATGTGCCTACAGGTGTTTAACGTGCAGACACGTGTCAGCAGCTGCAGCACACACCCCGGTCGCGTGCTGTTTATCGTATGTTAATTATATCTCCACGGAACAGCCGTACCACCGCCCACCCACGCGGAGGCTCAGTTTCTGTTTTAAAGGCTGGAAGCGTGGGCCAGCCGTGGCCTGCTGGCTAAGGGAGCCGGGTCCCCCTTGTCTGACTGCACGTTTCTAATCCCGGACCCGACAGCTTGAAATACACAGCGGGTGTGTGTGTGCCCGAAATCCCGGCTGGAGGGAGAGAGGGTGCGGAAGGAGTCGGGAATCGTGGTGGCTTTTTCTCTTTTCCTGTCTCTGTCTCTGGCGAGTGCACGTGTACCCTCACAGGTGAGGGGGTTGACAGTGCCCCCCCACTCTCATACACGGTAGCGCTGTCCTCTGTGCCTCTGCCCATGACCCAGGAGGAGGTCGAGGGCCCGCATGTCCACGGAAGGCCACGCTGAAGGTCGCCTGCAGCCCTTTTCATGAGAGCCCCGGAGTAGAAACAGCCCCGGTGGCTTTCGGCAGAAGAGCAGGGCGTCGGAGGGGCCGTGGCACAGCGGGAAGGCCTGACCCTGGGGCTGACACTGTCACGGCCCTCCCTAAACACCTGGGCACACGTGCCCGCGGTCGGGACCAGCCGCGGCTGCTGTGGATGGCGTCAGGACGTGGGGGGCGCATGCTCTCACTCGCTCGAAAGGGAATGCCTCACCTGGGAGGCCGCTGTGAGCTGAGGACGCTCTGCCCACCCGCGGGGAAGAGCGCTTGCCGATTCACCCTGCTTATCTCCCTCTCGGCTCCCCCGAGCCTGCCAAGCTCTGTGGTAGATGGGACCAGCAGGTGGCGTGGTGGTTCGTCAGGACCTGGCGGCCTGGACATGGCCTGTGTGTCCAAAATCCCAGGAGGAGAAGGGACTGCGGCGTGGCTGTCCTCCCAGGGGGTGGGGGGGCGATTTCTCATTTTCCCTCTCTGCGAGTACATGCACCTATGGCAAGAGAAAAGGAAGAAACCTTTAGGAAATCTGTGGTGGTGCGTTCTTTTGAGCGGGGCACAGTGTTCTGTGCGAGGCCCCTGTGGGTGCTCTGGTGGCCTCTTAGATGCTGCGTGTGACTCCGGGGCCCTGGTGTCACCTCGTCCCCTCATCCTCAGGTCAGGCCTGTGCTGCCTGTTGCCCTGGACTTCGGGCAGCCTGTGAGTCACAGTGATGTCTTCCCACACAGGGAGAAACCCCGTCCGTGGTCCTCGATCGTAAGGGACCGTGTCCGCAGAGCTCCTTACTGGCCCTTCCCACCCCCACGCTCTCCATGTGGTGAACGCTCAGGATGAAATCTCGCCACCTGGACTTGAATGCTGCAGCCACTCTGCGTCCGTGGGTGGCCACCCTGGCCCGTCCCTGACTCCGCTAGGCCTGGGCTGGGGACCCCTAGGGGCGCTGAGTTGCTGTGTCCTGGGTTCCTACAAGCGGTGGGTTTAAAATCCCCACGCGCCGTGGTCCTTCGGGTCTCGGACTGTCCGGATCGGGTCACACAGTCCCGAGGACAGAGGCCATAGGGGATGCCGCCCTGGAGGGCGCCGGCCTGTCTGTCTGCACGCCCTTCCTTGGCGGACCTGGGAGTCTCCCCGCAGTCGCGCCCACACTCACGCCCGCGCGCTCTTCATGGCTGGCGGCGAGTGTTCTCCTCCTGTACGTTCATTACTTCTGTTCTTCCACGAGGGAGGCAGGCAGCGCCCCGGGAGGGTCTGAAGCCTCCGTTGGTGCAGCCTTGACCGGCCCGGATCCTGGGCTAAGGTGCACCGGGGTGCCCGGGGAGGCCTCCAGACGTGAGCCTGGAACCGTCCCCGAGTCACCCCGTGCCGAGCATGTGCCGAGCAGGCCCCAGCCCCGAAGTGGCTGTTTTCATCCCAGGTAATGCCTTGACCCGATCCAGCATGATGGAGGGAGGCGCACCGACTGTCCCGGTGCACGACAGAGCAGCCCTCCCCGTCCAGCCCCCACGTCCACTCAGCACTGTCCAGCGTGATGGAGGGAGGCTCACCGACTGTCCCGGTGCACGACAGAGCAGCCCTCCCCGTCCAGCCCCCACGTCCACTCAGCGCTGTGCTGTTTAGTGTGCGCGCCTGCCTCGGCCCCTCCCGATGCCCGTGGTGTCTTCGTCACCTGAGCAGATGGTGACCGTCCCCCCACCCGCTGCCGTTCCTCCTCCGGAGTTTGCTCCTGCTGGCTCTGTGGCCGCGGTCTGCAGCTCTGAGTCGGGACCCTCTTCCTCAGTTTGATGGCCCTGTGGACCTGACCGTCGGCCACCAGTCAGGCATTAGGGAGATGCATGGGGCCCTGCAGTGGGATGGCATGGCGGCTGCTCCCGGCCCTCGGGTTGGTCCGGTTCAGGTCTGCGGTTCCCCACACCCTGGCCTTGCTGCTCCAGGAGGGAGAGGGAGAGGCCTCAGCCCGCAGCTGCGTTGCTGGAGGAGCGAACCTGCTGCCCGGCTCACGGCGACGAGGACCCTGGGGCTGGCCCTGGGCATGGTGGGAGCCCTGGACGGGAGCGGTCTGCCTGTGAGGGGCAGGCCTTTGTGAGCGCGGCCTGGAGTTGATGGAAGGTGCGCTCGCGGCAGAGGGGGGTGCTGCGTGGGCTCGGCCTGGAAGGAGGGTGGCTATGGGGGGACCCACGGAGGGCTGGGGCATACCCAGGAGCTGCCAAGGGCTGTGAGACCCTGACAGGAGAGAAGGGTCAGACAAGGACTCTGGTGACCAGAGTGTGGCCGACATGCACAGCCCAGTGGACACAGGGAGGGACTTTGGGGGGCACACTGCTGCCAGGCTGTGCAGGTGTGGGTGGGACCTGCCCAGGGCCTGAGGGTTCCCTCCCCGTGCACAGGCGTCCCTGAGTGCTCCGCACAAGGAACTGTGGCCTAGAGCCAGCGCAAGTTCCGTCCTGTCTTATCAGGGCCCCCGAGCCCCCAGGCAGAGGCAGGGCCCCATGGCTTGGCGGGGAGGGCTGCGGGGTGCAGCCTCTGGTCACTGGCCTGCCGGGAGGGCGTGCTCTGAGGCTGGGTCTCAGCTGGGGCCTCTCGTGCTTATCGCCGCGGTGAGCGAGGCTGTCGCCACGTGGGTGCAGCGGAGAAGGGCTGGAACGTGCAGCCGTGCTCGGTGGGACCCGGAGCCCTGGCCCTCCTCGTGGGGTAGTGGGCTCTGGGCGGGGCTGGCCGAGTCCCTGCTGCGTCCACGACTCTGTTCTCAGGGCTTCAGGCTCCTCTCGCTGACTCTAGCGAATAGACCCCTCGGGTCCTGGCCCCGTGGTTGGGCCTGCGGCTGGCCACAGGCCCTCACGCATGTGTGTGTCATGTGGGGCCCAGGTGGGCGTCGCAGGGTCCTGTGGGCACTGTCCCAGTCTGACACAGGCACCCTCCGCACAGCCTCCCCGTGGGCCTGCGCGTTGATCTGAGGCTCCACAGCGGCCGTCCCTGTTCTCTCGGGCCCTGAGCCGGCGTCCGGTCGGGGTCACTGTCCACTTCCTTGGCTGTGCCTCTCCTTGTTGCACCCGGTTTCTACCCGTGGTGCACGGTGGAGCACATCTCTGTCCATGGGCTCCTGGGAGCGCAGCTGATCCCAGGGCTGGGCAGGCAGGGGTGCCTTAGGCCATGCCGAGGACACTGGGGGACAGAAAGAACTTTGGGGGTGGGCTCCAGCAGGCTGGGGGCAGAGGGCTTCCTTTCTTCAAGAACGAACGTGGGGAGCACCTGGGGGGCCGCATGCAGTCCCCACCTGAGCAGGTCAGAGACGGTCATCCCAGGGAGGCCGGAGAGGCACCAGAGATGAGAGAGCACCTGGGGCAGCCCTGTGAGGACGCCAGGGCGGTACGCGTGGGACCATGTCCTGTGACACTCTGCAGCCAGCGGCCTGAGCCCTTGCCCTGGGCGCCCAACCCTGAGGTGGTCAGGAGGGCACAGCTTGTGCGTGTGTGTGCATATGTGCATGCGTGTGTGCATATGTGCGTGTGTGTGCACATGTGCGTGTGTGTGTGCATATGTGCGTGCGTGCAGGCGGGGTATCACGGTGTGTCCGGGCCAGGCCCGCGTCGTGGTCATCTTCAGTAGACTTGGACATTTTCAAGGTGACAAGTTGGGGGCTCTCGGGCAGAGGCCCTCCAGCCTGGGCCAGTCCTCAGGCTGTCCCTGAGGCAGGACTTAGAGGCCTTGCTGCATCAGCCACCCTGAGGGGACGGTGGCTTCCATTCTATTTAAACCTTGGGACAAGAGGGCCACCAGGTGGCGTGGTGGTTGGGGCGCTGGATCCCACAAGGCTGGCTGCGTGGTTTGAGTCCCAGCCCAGTGGCTTGAGGAGCGCACTGGGCACATGTGTGCGTGCTCAAGATCCCTAGACAGTAGAGGAGACGGGATTGTGGCGTGGCCTCCCCCTGGGGAGGTCGTTTCTCTCTCTCTCTCTCTCTCTCTCTCTCTCTCGGTCTCTGCAGCGAGGGCATGCATTCTATAGCAGAAAAAAGGAGAAAAAAAAAAAAAACCCAGAAGACCCCCTGGGAGGAGAACGAGTTGCGGTGCCTCTCAGCCTTCACGTTCCTGATGAGAAGACACGTCCATTTTGACAGCATTGGCGATGGGCCCTGCAGGTGCGGGCTCTTTCTAGGTGCTGTGCTGGTGGGACCCGGAGAGTCGAGACGTGCCTTCCTGGGCCCCCAGCACGGGGTCAGAGAAAGCCTGCCCCAGGGCGCCCTGCAGACCTAGACCTGGGGTCTCATATCTGACTTCCCGTGCAGAGCACAGAGGGGAGAGCGGGTGCGGAGCCCTGGGGCCCTGGGAACAGGCTGCACGGCTTCGGAGTGAGGGTGGTGCTCCAGGAGTGTGCTTGCCAGGGACAGAAAGAGAGTGAGAAATCACCCCCCGAGGGGATGGCCACGCTCAGTCCCGTCTCCATTCTCCCGTTGAATTTTGGACACGCCTGGCGTGCGTTTCAGGTCAGCAGGTCTGAGCCTCGAACCGCAGTGGGCTGTGTGCGAGTCCGGTGTCTTAACCACTGCGCCACTTGCTGGCCCCCGTGGGTAGCAGAAGTTTAAACTCCTGTACCCACCCCTCCCTTGTCCTCCGGGGAGGAGGTGGCCTTTCCCCACGCTGCTCTGTGCCGGGTCTGAGTGTGCTGGGCCCCGCCTGGGCAGGACAACCCCGTGGGCTCGGGGCTCAGCAGCTCTGAGAGGGGCTGGGGGGCTGGGGCCCTCGTGTTCACTCCTCGGTGCTGGGAGTGAACGCTGGGGTGCGCCTTTGACTCTGCGTGTCCAGAACGAGGTGACGGGAACTGCGCCCTGGGCCTTCCTGCATGCTGGCGTGGGGGCACGGGCTCGGCCCCTCCTCACCCTCCCTGGGAGAGCCCTGGAGGGGTGCAGTTAATCCGAGCAGCCGGGCTGTGCTGGACACCTACCCAGTGCTTTCTTCTTATGGGATATTTAGAGGGGCTGAGGTCAGACGCAGTTTGTTTGTTTGTTTGTTTTTAAAGAGGTTTTTGCTATAGGGCGCATGCACTCGCCAGATAGACAGAGACAGACAGAAAGCGAGAAATCACCCCCCAGGGGGGATGGTCACGCCACAATCCCTTCTCCTCCTTTCTCCTTTCGGGATCTTGGGCACGCACGCACACGCACCCAGTGTGAGTTTTAAGCTGCCGGGTCCAGGATGTGAACCACGGTCGACTATGTGGGAGTCCAGCGACATAGCCATGACGCTAACTGCTGGTTCCCTCCATGAACTCTTTGAACACACGTTATATTCTAGGGTTTGTGAGACAAGATGCAGAGCCGAGGGTACGGGGCAGCCCCCCCCCGGGCTACTGGTTAACGGCACTGGATCCTACATGGCCAGCCGCGTGGTTCGAGTCTCTGGTCTGGCAGTGCGTGTTCAGAATCAGGATGGGATGGAAAGATGGAGAAGGAATTGCAGGGTGACCCCTTTGGTGATGCACTCGCTCACTCACTCTCTGCCAAGGGCACGTATTCCCTGGCAAATTAAAAGGAAAAAAAAGAACTGAGGCTATTATTAGATATTTAATCCAGCCATTTACTAAACACACAAACGTTTAAAAATGTCCCTTCCAGGGGCCGGTAGGGGGCATACTGGTTAAGGGCCCTGGAGTCGCACATGGCTGACTGCAATTCAGCTCACGGACCTGGCAGCTTGCTTTCTCATGTTCCCTCCCCCTCTTTCACTCTGACCCCTCTGGTCAAATTAAAATGAAATAAATAAATGAATAAATAAAATAATGTCCATTCCACGCTGAGCTCACTGCTGGAGGGTCTCAGTTCTGGACGGCGCCCTCTGCCCCCCCCCCCCCCCCCAGCCCCCCCCCCCCCCCCCGCAGGCTCTCCTGAAACCAGCGGGTGTGCGTCCAGGCACCCAGCAGTGAGGCCGTGCAGGGTTGCCCCAGCAGCCAGGGCCCAGCGTGACACTGCAATGGGGAAGGACGGTTGGGAAGGGATGCCTACCTGCCAGAACTCCCAACAAACACCTCAGCCGCAGTGAACGCAGGCAGCCCGATTCAGAGGCCAGCAGAGGGCGTGACTAGACATGTCCCCAGAGAGGGTAAGCAAGTGGTCAGTAAGGCGGGAGAGGGCTTGGCAGCTCTGCCCCCGGGGGCTGCCCCTTTGTGCCCCAGAAGGGCGAGAGCAAGCGTTAGGGACGCGGAGATGTGGGAGCCCCCGGGTGGTGGTGGGAGTGTAGAATACCACAGTTGCCAGGCGACCCGGAGAATCCTCCAGATGTTCTCAAGGGGAACAAGAGGCACCAGGGGGTGGTGTCTCTGGACTCCTACACAGTTGACCACGGTTCGATTCCAGACCTGGTGGCTTCAAATTCACGTTGGGTGCATATGTGTGCATGCCCAAGATCCAAGAGGAGAATGGAGGAGAAGGGATTGCGGTGTGGTCATCCCCCTGGGGGGTGAGTTCTAGCTTTCTGCCTTTCTGGCGAGCACACGCACCCTATAGCAAAAATCTCTCAAAAAAAAAAAAAAAAAAGACGTGTACGACCGCATGGTCGGGTCATTGCACTTCTCCGTGTGCAGCTGAGCGAGTTGAAGCCCGGAGTCCACACAAATCTTTGTGCCTGCCTTGGTACAAAGGCCTGTTATTTTTTTAGGTTTTTGCCATAGGGCACTTGCTGGAAAGACACAGACCAGGGGAATGGCCACACCATTATCAACTCCATTCTCCTCTTGGCTTTTCGGCATGCACGCACATAGGCCTCGCATGATTTTCAAACCTCTGGGTCCAGGACTTGACTTGAGGGGAGCTATGTGAGAGAATCCAGCACTTTAACTACCATGCCTCTTGCTGCTCCCTGCACCTTAAATGCCAGAATACACCTGCACAGGGAGAGAGAAAGCACCCCGAGCGAGGGTGCCACCTCCAGTAGGGCCTGGTCACGTCAGTCCTTTTTCTCCAAGGTCTCCCTCCCATCCCATCTGGGTCCTAGACATGGTTTTCAAGTTGTCAGGACTGGGACTTGAACTCCGATTGGCCATGTGGGTTCCTGCTTCCTCCGGGCAGCGCGTATTCCTGCTTCCTCCGGGCAGCGCGTAACCCTGAATGTACGTGTGCATAGGAACGTTACGTAGAGGAGCCAACAGGTGAAGACAGCCCAGGTGTTCGTCGGTGGATAGATGGAAAGCAAAATGTTTCTCTGTATAACAGATCTTTCAGCCTTAAAAAAGGGAGGAAAGGGGGGACCAGCAGTTAGCGTAATGGCTATGTCGCTGGACTCCCATGTAGTCGACCGCGGTTCAAGTCCTGGTTCTGGTGGTTTAAACTGCACATGCCCTGTATGCATGCGTGCCCAAGATCCCGAGAGGAGAATGGAGGAGAAGGGATTGCGGCGTGGCCATCTCCCCTGGGGGGTCGTTTCTCGCTTTCTGTCTCTCTGTCTGTCTCTGTCTGTCTGTCTGGTGAGCATACGTGCCTTATAGCAAACAACTCTCCAAAAAGAGGGGGGCAGGAAGGGTCCAGCAGCAGGTGCTGTGCCTGTGGCACGGGACTCCCACGTGGCTGACCGTGGTTGGAGCCTCGGGCCCAGTGGCTGAAAACTCTGGCCAGGTGCATGTCCAGATTCCAAGAGGGGACTAGAGGAGCAGGGATTGCGGTGTGGCCATCTCCCCTGGGGAGTGGTTTCTTGCCTTCTGTCTCTCTGTCTCTCCGGTGAGTGCACATGCCCTGTAGCAAACATCTCTTTCGTGGGGGGGAGGGGTGGGGAGGACCAGCAGGTGGTGTAGCGATTAAGGTGCTGGACACTCACACGTGCCGACCACGATTTGAGTCCCGGACCTGGTGGCTTGCTTTCTAACTTTCCCTCCCTCCCTCCCTCTCTCTCTCTCTCTCTCTCTCTCTCTCTCTCTCTCTCTCTCTCTCTCTCTCTCTCTCTCTCTCCCTCCCTCTCTCTCCCCTTCTCTCTGGTCAAATTAAAGTAAGCAAATGAATAAATAAAAAGAAAAAGGGAGGGGAGGAAATTCTAACCCCTGCTGCAGTGTAGAGGAACCTCAAGGACATGTGCTCAGTTGAATGAGCTGGTCACAGGGAGACAGAGAGACAGAGAGCGAGAAATCACCCCCCGGGGGATGGCCATGTCACAATTCCATTCTCCTCTCTGGATCTTGGGCATGCACGCACACGCGCCTAGTGAGTTTAAGCCACCGGGTCCGGGACGTGAACCGCGGTCTACTACATGGGAGTCCAGCAACATAGCCATTACGCCAACTGCTGGTCCCTCCACATGCTTTTTTAAGCAAAAGCTTTAAAAAACAAAAGTTAAGGTGGGGGACCAGCAGATGGCGTACTGGTTATTGCTGGGCTCCACGTAGTGGACCGTGCTTTGAGTCCTGGACTCTGTAGCCTGAAACTCACACCGGGCGCGAGCGCATGCGTGCCCAGGATCCTGGGGGAGGATGGAGGAGAAGGGATTTACAGCCTGGCCATCCCCCCTGCAGGGTGAGTTCTCGCTTTCTGCGTCCGTCTGTCTGGTGAGTGCACGTGCCCTATAAAAATAAATCTCTCTTTAAAAGAAAAAAGTTGGGGCCAGCAGATGGCGTGGTGGCTAAGGCCAGACCCCCCACATGGCTGATCGCTAGCTGCAGTTCGAGTCCTGGACCTGGCGACTTGCTTTCTCACTCACTCTCTCACTCACACTCTCTCTGGTCAAATCGAAGACTAATAACAAGCAGGTAAAATTGTATAAATGAATTTGTAAAAGGAGTTAGGGTGGCGAGTTTCACATGTACCTCACCACGAGCTTTAGAGAGACATCAGGGGTTCACCGAAGTGCTTGTGACGACGTCAGAGTACTTTTTCGCGTTCAGTCCGAAAGTTGGGGTCCAGGTATGGTGCCGTGCTGACACCCCTGGATCCGCGTGGGGAAGGTGGTAGGTGTGTGTTCCAGGACCCCCCTGAGCAACGTGGGTGTGCTCACGTAGCCACGGCCGTCGGGGTGGGTCAGTGTGAGGACCTGCCGGAGCGCCTGTCTGTCTGTCTGTCTCCCTGTCTTCTCTGTCTTTCTCTCTTGGAAGAAACAACTTAAAACGCACACACACACACACACACACAAAACTAAGGGGCCGGCAGGTGGTGTGGTGGTTAAGGGCGCTGGACTCCCATATGGCTGATCGAGGTTCCAGTCCTAGACCTGGCGGCTTGCTTTCTCACTTTCTTGTTCTCTCTCTCTCTCTCCGTCTCTCTGTGGTAAAATTAAAAATAGTAAGTAAAGTTAAGTAAAATAAATGTTTTTAAAAATTAAAAAATGAATTAAAATTTTTTAATAAAATAACTTTTTTTTTTTTTGGAGAGATTTTCACTGTAGGACGCGTGCGCTCGCCAGACAGAGAGAGACATAGAGACAGAAAGTGAGAAATCCCCCCCCAGGGGGGATGGCCACGCCGCAATCCCTTCTCCTCCATTCTCCTCTCGGGATCTTGGGCACGCACGCACACGCACCCGGCGTGAGTTTTAAGCCACCAGGTCCGGGACACGAACCGCGGTCGACTACGTGGGAGTCCAGCGATATAGCCATTACGCTAACTGCTGGTTCCCTAAAATAACTTTTTTAAAAATAAAAAATTAAGGCAGGACCAGCAGATGGTATAAGGGTTATGCCTTTGGACTCCCATGTAATTGACCGCAGTTCGAGTCTTGGACTTGGTGGCTTAAACTCACCCTGGGCGCGTGTGCGTGCGCGCGTGCCCAAGATCCTGAGAGGAGAATGGAAGAGAAGGGATTGCGGCGTGGCCATCCCCCCGGGGGGTGATTTCTCATTTTCTGTCTTGCTGTCTCTCCAGTGAGTCCATGCACCCTACAGCAAAAATTAAAAAAAAAAAAAAATCTCCAAAAAACTAAAAGTTAATTTTGGGTTTTCTTCTTTGGAAAAAATGTTCTTCCAAACAAAGCAATTTTTTTTTAAATGGTGCCAGGGGACCAGCAGGTGGCGTGGTGGTTAGGGTGCTGGACTCCCACATGGTGGACCACGGTTTAAGTCCCAGACCTGTGGGTTTGAAAATTATGCTCTGTGTGTGTACGTGCGTGTGCCCGTGCCCAAAATCGGAGAATGGAAAAGAAGGGGTTACAGTATGGCCACCCCTCCTGGGCAATGCTCACTTTTTCTCTCTGTCTGATGAGCACATGTAGCATATGGCAAAAAGTCTCTCTCTCTCTCTTTTTTTTTTTTTTTTTTGGGGGGTTTTTTTTATGGGGGGTGTGTGGGCCCATCCTAGTTTGGCAAATCCATATTGAACAGATATTTACAGATTACTTACAGTATGTCAGGATCTAGGTGTATGGTTCTGAGATAATGAGCACAAAAGCCCTCTCCTCTGGGCACACATTCTGGGAAGACCTTGCTGCTCCATCCCTGTCTTGCCCATGCCAGACCTTGCTAAATGATTGCAGTATTTTTATTTTTATTTTTTTGGAGAGGGTTTTGCTACAGGGTGCGTGCACTTGCCAGAGAGACAGAGACAGAGAGACAGAAAGCAAGAAATCACCCCCCCCAGGGAGATGGCCACACCCCAATCCCTTCTCCATTCTCCTCTCAGGATCTTGGGCACGCACACACACGCGACCGGCGTGAGTGTAAGCCGCCGGGTCCGGGACCTGAACCGCGGTCAACCATGTGGGATCCAGCATCATAGCCATTAATGTTAACTGCTGGTCCCCCAGCGTGAGTTTTTAAGCCCCCCGTTCTGGGATTGGAACCGTGGCCGACTGTGTGGGAATCCAGCGGGGTACCCATTATGCCATCTACTGGTCCGAACAACAAGAAATAAGTCTTGAAGAGAGAATGCAGTGTTAGGCCCTGAAACGGGGTTCCCGTCTGCGCTGAGCGTGTGGGTCCGGGGGTCCTGACAGCCGCGACGTGCCTTTGCCAGGCCCAGAGTGCCCCGGCCGTGGCCACCCCCGACGCCTGTTCTGGAGAAGGCCACGTGCCCGCGTGGGGCCCAGACATCTGGGAGGGGTTCTGCCCCAGGGCAGGGTGTGGAGAGACCTGACACTCCTAGGAAGCGGCCCGTGGGGCCATGGCAGGGACTGTGGGCTGAGGTGTCTGACGCTGTGGCTCCTGGGTGGCCCCCGCAGTTCCCGCCTCTGGGACCCGCTGGCTCCCCGAGACTGTCCTCTCCAGGAGATCGCGCTGCCGTCACAGAAGGGCAGTCCTGGGCTGGCCCGTAGCTCAGCGTGGGCCTCCGACTGCAGTTCGAATCCTGGCCCCAGCAGTTTGAAAACACACCGAGCGCGTGCTCAAAATCTCAGCAGGGTGTAGGGGCCGGCAAGTGGCATGACCGCCCCCACTGGGGTGCCTTTCCCTTCTCTCTCTCTCTCTCTTTCTCTCTCTCTCTCTCTGGGGTGTGCACCCGGGTCCGCTGGCAATTAAAAAGAATAATAAGGCAGCCGCACTGACGAGATTATGGCCGGGCTAGGGAGATTATTTTAACACGCCATTTCTTCTCGGCCAGGAAGCGCAGCCTTGTGGAGCACGGGGTCAGTGGCTTTCCCACGTCTGCAGGCGTGACAGCCTTTACTCCCAGTGGTTGAAGAGCTCTTCTCTTCCGTGGGACTGGTGGCCTGGTGGCCCCGGGCGGACGTGGCGCGGCAGTCCCAGGGCTGTCAAAGTCCTCTCGCTCCTTGCGCGCTCAGTCACGTGAATGGAGCAGTCTCCTCGGCACCCTGGTCGGATCTGCGGATGTGGCTCCATGCCAGACGGGGCCGGACTGGAGGCGCTGCGGGCGGGGTGGGTGGCCTGGACCCCTGGTGCCCCGTGCCTGCCCGGCTGCTCCGACGGGAGGCGTGTGTGAAAACCTGATCCGGACGAGCTGAGCTGCCGCAGAGCAGAGAGCTGGCCAGCTCAGGTCCCCAAGAAGCCCCAGCTCCGTTGGGTGACAGCGCCGTCTCCCCACAGGTGGTACCCGAGGGCATTCTGCAGAACGGGGCTGTGGATGACAGCGTGGCCAAGACCAGCCAGCTGCTGGCCGAGCTGAACTTTGAGGAGGATGAGGAGGACACCTATTACACGAAGGACCTGCCCATCCATGCCTGCAGGTGAGCGGGAGGCAGAGCTGGGCCGGCTCCGCCTGTGCGCCGGCTGGGGGTGCCGCGTGGGGCCCTGTCCACTTGCAAGCCCGGCCCTCAGGGAGCAGGAGGGAGGGCTCGGCCCCGCCGCCCCAGGCCCTCCCTGTGCTGCTCTCTGCAGCAGGAGCCTCTCTTCACCGTGGGGTGGTGCACACCTGGGGTGGAGGGACGGCGGGGACGGCGGGGACTCCGGGGCCCTGCTGTGTGTGCCGCCCCCGCGCAGTCGGCAAGCGGGCGGGGACAGACCTGCGGGCCAGCAGATTTGGAAGTCTGAGCGGGACCAGCTTACTCCTGCTTTTCACACACACCGGGCTCCCGTCAGGGCCCCCGACCAGGCAGGCAGCTCGGCCACCCCGGCCGCCAGGCACGCCGCTGCTCCCCGGCCTGTGCCCCGCCCGTGCTCAGCCTGGGGACGGCTGCTGTCCCCCGCGTCACGGCAGACTTCGTGACCTCCTTTTGCCCGTGTCACTCCACTCCCATCTGCGTGCGTGTGCAGATGTGACGGCATCGTGTCCTGTCACTAGGGACAGAGGAGTCTGCGAAGCTGCAGGGGCTCCGACCACACAGCCTGGCCCCCTCTGCTGCCGTGTGTGGGGGTGAGGGGTCCCCCGTGGTATGGGGGAGGGTGGGTTCTGAGCTGAAGCCCGTTTCCCTTCTGTACAGAATCTTGGCCCTGTTCCCATCAGAACCCTGGGGAGCCCGCTCCGGTGTGTGCAGTTTCAGAAGTGGGGTGGGGGCTCTCCAGGTGCTCCTCCCAAGGCAGGACTGGCCTGGGCCGCCCAGGAGGGTCCAGGCTGCGTTTCCCAGGAGCACAGTGCCCTCTGCTGGACCGAGCCAGGAGCGCGCTGTGAGCGCCGGGGCGAGGTTCTGGGAGCTCCAGGCCGAGGAGGGCTCCGTGGCCCTGGGTGGGAGGCTTCCTCCCAACACCCCCTGGCACCTGGCAGGCTCTGGTCTGTCACCTGCGGTGCGCTTGCTGCGGCCTGGGGCATCCCGGAGCCTCCGCGGCACACCGGGTCCTTGCTATCCAGCCAGGGACCCCAGCTGACCGGGGTAGTCGGGGTTGCCTGTGTGTTTACTGAAAAACTAAAAAGTGTCGTCCGAGGAAAGAACCCTCACGCCCTGCCGGATGAGAACCGGAGCGCGGCTGCCCGTGACCTGTGCTGCTTCCTTTGCAGTTACTGCGGCATCCACGACCCCGCCTGCGTGGTGTACTGCAACACCAGCAAGAAGTGGTTCTGCAACGGGCGCGGGAACACCTCGGGCAGGTAGCGACTGCGGCCGCGCATGTGCCTTCCATCAGCGCCGGGCTCGGCTCCGCGTGGAAATCGTGGAAATGCTAAGCAGAGTGCACTGGCAGATCACGCTCACGGACCTGGTCTCCCTCCGTGACGGGCTTAACTGGGAACAGATGGTTGTGTGTGGACGCCTTCGTGTGCTCGCCCCTGATTTATCCTCTGCGGTTCTTATGCAGCGAGGGCTGGCTTCATTTCTCCTCCCCAGTTTTCATTTCTCTCTTTCTGCCAGAGGCGCTCCTGGCATGCCCGTTGGTCTTCATTACCGGGAGGATGTTCCCAAGGCAGTCACGGGGCACCCAGGGGAGATGCCGGCTCCCGAGGGGCTCCCTCTGGCCCGAGCTCCTCCGAGCAGTCCCCGGGCTAATTCAGGCCAGACCCCGAATCAGCGGATTCAGTTAAGGCCCCTTGACCGTCGGCCCTGGGCTTCCTTCCTGCTCTTGATCAGCAGCAGCTGTGACGGGGTCCCTTGTTCTGCGTTGGGGACGAGACCAGCCTCGTGCAGACAGTCCGATGGCCTCGGCCGGGGGGTGGGGGCTGAGGGACAGGGCGTCCCGCTCCGGCGGGGCCTGCCTGTCTGCACTGCCATGGGGCCCGCCCC